TAAAGTATTATTAGACTTTGAATTGTCATTAAGACATTGGAAGTTTCCCTTTGAATATTCCTTAAATTTTATAAATATCTTTGAGTATTTCGAAAGTCTCATCAAAATGATAACAATAGTAATAATTTAATTTTCAGTGTGAATAATATTATATGACTTATTCCTGATTGATTATATTTTTATGTGATTTGATATAAAAATATGTAATTAATTATTATAGCTATCTGTTCAAGTTTTTGAATAATTAAATAATTATTAGTCCAAACTAAAATAAATACTTTAGATAATATATCATTAATCTAAATTAAAATAAATATATTGATTAATTAAGTTATATTAGAAAAATAATTATTAATTCAAATAAATTATAATTATTATAACATAAAAACAAAGTGTTATATTATTCTATATATAAATTTATATAAAAATATTTTTTCTTATATTATAAAAACATTATTAATTATCAAAAGAAAAATATTTTTAGTTTACAAATTAAGAATATTAACAAATAATCAAAGCTATAATAATAATTTTATTTTATGTGATTAAATTTCTTCAAAATACTTAATAAAACTCAATGATATAACTAATATTTCTTGACTACAAAAATATAATCTTATCTAAAAGATCTTGTTTATAAGTAAAAATTATGTAACAAGTATATGATACCTATTTGTCACCTATTACAACATGTTATAATTCCAAAATTTTATAAGTCATAACTAGTTGCAACTAGATAATACTTTATTTATCATTATATTGTAATAGTTATTATGCTATCTTTACTTATAAGCACTCATATATCAAGTAAATCTATATACAAAATAATAAATTTTGATTAGAATAACAGATTCTAATATATATAAAACAATTTTTTAAAATTATAATCACAATTTAATCATAAACATCACTTTATTTCTCTTCAAAATTACTCAATAAAATTGAGCTTGTAATAAAACTTTGAATAGAAAATATATATATAACTAACTGCTTTAATAATTTCTTGCAAGTAATTTTTCTAAAATATAAAGTCAAATTGAAAACTAAAAATATAAGTTATATAATATTATAATCTTATTAAATTAAAAATATATAATTTGTACATATTATATTACTTCACCAAATTCTCTACTTACAAGTTATATTTTAAAGAATTTATCAAATATTCTTTAATTTTATTATACTAATAATATCTGTAAATATTATGATATGAGAAAAATTATTAGATATTTTTTTATAAAATAAAAGTGATTATTTGTTATTATTCTTCAAATTTATTTATAAAACTAACAAAATATTATTAATATATGTATTATAGTTATTACTGTTATCAAACATAAAAAAATAACTTTTTAGAATGTGTTTGTTTAAAAATTGAAATGACTTTTTCAACTATTTGACTTGTAAGATTTTAATTTGTTTATCAATTATCTCAATTGGAATCCAGATGAATATTAGTATATATAAGTTGCTCGTTAACAGAAAACAGATTATTTGTAATCCAGTTTTTTTCTAAAAATCAAAGATGTTCAATTAATTTACAAATAAATCACTTATATAAATACTAAAATCTTGTAATTTATATTAGAGCTGATTTTTTTCTGTAAGATTCCAAAGTTTAATGACATCATTATTGACATAAAAAATTAATTCATCATGAATACTTAGAACTTTGAGAATATTAAGTAGAAATATTGACAAAAAATTTGTTTCATATTATTTTTCTTGTATATTGTAAACTAAAATCATAAAATAACTATTTGTTTTAAAAATTAATTTTGATAAATCACCATATTATCATGTTTATAACCATTAAAATAAATATCTTTTAAAGAATTTTTATAATTTCAATTAAGATAATGTAATCACTTTCAAGCTATTATTTCTGTAATTATTCTTTTTCTTCAATATCAAAATTAGATATAGCTTTATTTTCAATAAATTTTATAAATTGGCAAATAGTTAGTTTGAATTTGTTTGCATGCAAATATTAAATAATATATAACTTGAGATTTTTGTGAAGCAAAATAACTTAATTTTTGAATGATAATCACAACATGATATGTGAAGTTTATCTTTATTTAATTATTCATTTATTTACAAATAAATAACTTATATATATTATAAACTCTTATTGATACTATAAATAAGAAGTTCTCTTGTTGATATTTTAGTAAATTCTTGATTATAGACAAGATAAAGAAATTGATCTATTATATAAAATTGTATATCAACAAACTTTTCTTTTAAATATTAAGTAATAATAAAGTGAACTTATTGTTATCATTATCACTAAAATTAATTATTTCATTATATGAAAGTTCATTATCAGAATTAACTATTTTATTGTTAAAATTAACTGCTTTATTAAGTAAAAATTTGTAATTATTATTGTCAAATCAGTTGGTTATTTTATTTGAACCTAAAACTATTTTCCTCAAGATTGCTCACTTATTATGCAAAATTAATAGAACAAAATTTTTTTCATCATTTTATCATTCATATATTTGATTATTTTATATTTTTGACAAGTTCCTCTAATATATCTGGTTTTAGCTCTTGCAAATTCTTTATGAATTGATTATTATTCAAAGATTCACTTTTGTTTTTTAGCAAAACTATATCAAAATTCGATTCATCATACTCAGACTTAGCATTATACTCAAACTTAATATTTAAAGATTTACTTTTATCTTTTAGCAAATTGTGTTGAAATTTAATTCATCATATTCAGAATTAGTATTTGATATCTTTTTATTTTCTCATTACTTCTTGATAATTAATAAATTCTGTTTAGCATACTTATTTCACTTTGATATTATATTATCAATAACTAAATAAAGAAATAATTAAACAATGAATTAATAAAAATTGCAAAATTATGAAAGTTTTTAATTATTAAAATAAAAATTATCTTGTCTAATGAGGAAAATTATAATTTTTAAAAGTATTATTATTATTAATAATGCCAATTTAAGAGTTTCAAGTCAATTTAACAAGCAAAAAAAGAACATCATCGTGACAGTTAAATATAAGAATAATTATATTATTATAATACTATGCAAAAATACAAATGAGCACAAATAATATCATTATAATATTATTACAATATTATAAATACAAATAATATTATCGTGACAGTCAAGTATTCAGTGAATTGACGAATTAATTATATGATCTATATTTTTATTGGCTCGCATAAAAATCATCACGTGTTCATATGTAAAATCACGTGATAATAGTCGCATGAAAATTCAGTAGTGGCGCAGCATTTGATGTCTTTAGACTGTTTGCACCATAATAAACATAGAAATTATAAATTACAATTATATGCAAAGTTGTAACCAGTTTGTATTAATAATAAATACTCGAAGAGTTATATAGCATTTATGATAAATTCATTAAATGTAAATAAAAATAATTTAGTTGTCTCTAAGTAAACTTTTTATTAATAAATACTATAAATTATACGTATATATATAAAGTTATACTATATGCCGATCTCAAACCAAATTCGAACCAGACTCGAACTCGTACAATGGTTCGGTACAAACTTTGAACCTTTCTTGAACTCAGATTCGGTTCGGTTCATAGGAACACTAGCTGGAGCCATTATTATATGTAGAATTGTCTTCCTGACATTTTTTAGTGTACAAATATAGATTTAGGCATTTATTTCCCATACTTTTTACATCTTTTGCTTTTTTCATTTTCTTGTGTCGGATTTGTTTTGCCGAACTGATCAAAAATTACGTGACTAGGGCACTATTTTTTCGCATCGTGACGTTATCAATATGTATGGGTCTGGCCTTCCATTTGGATTTTGGATGAATGTTTCTTTGGTCCCACCAAAGTTTTTTGGAACTTTAAATCGTTGCAATCTACAGTTGAACGGAAAGCTTGATAAGCATAAAAACAAAAGGAACTATCACTTTTTTATTAGTATATAAATAGTTATCTTTCATCATCGGACGCTTGAGATGTTGAAATATCTACAATTGTATCATCCATGTGATCATGTGATCAATGTAATCAGTAACCGAAATTATGAGCTTTAGGAGTTCGCAATTTGGGTGGCGGTAGGTTTCGAAAGTTATGAATTTGGCCGAAACCGAAACCCTACTTCAATCGTTATTTTGTTGTTGTTTTATTTTGTCGCCGCAGATGTTGGTTTATTTTGTCGTAGATGTTGGGTATTTTGTCGCGCAGTAGATGTTGGTTGAAGTGAAATTTTTCGATATTGTTCCCTACTTTGGAATTCCCACGCAATTTTTCATGATGATGAAATTCACGTTGATAGACGTTACATATAAGAAATTTTTCACTCTTATAACTCTTATAAATACCAGTGAATAATTTTCAACGAAACGAAAACTGAATAATAAAAAAAGTTTGACTATTAATAATATCTTTCACATACCTGTTTCGCTTGGCACTTTTATTTTTGAATTACAAGCTTGAACTACAAACAACCTTAAACAATTCACTTAATCGGCCTGTAAGTAGTAAAGATTAGTAAGTTAGTTATTGGTTTCGAGTTGCGATTTTTGGCGGCAGTCGCAATTCTTTTGTCTTTTATCTGAGATATACTATAGATAGAGAATATAACACAATGTTTTGCCTTTTATTGAAATATATTATAAAGAATATAACCATGTCGTCTTCCAACGAAAAAACGCCTAATCAAACAACACCAACGTCAAATTCAGCCAAAAATCCGTCCACACCGACAGCAAATACCTCTTCGGCTAACAAAGTTTTATGTTACTGTAAAAAACCTGCACTTATATATCAGGTCAAGAAGGAAGGTCCCAATAAAGGTCGCTGGTTTTACAAATGCTATAATTCAATCAGCAATTATATCGAAGGAACAGGAACGACTTGTCGATTTTACAAGTGGAAGGAAGAACTGGAATCGGTTCCTGTAAAACCGCCTACTGCTTTTGCTGGCCCTGCTAACACCTCTGGATCGATGACAAATGATCCATTGACTCCTCCACCAGACAATAAGCAACAACACGGGCAAATTCACAATTATCGTCCATTACCACAATATAATCAAACACCATTACAATATAATTATAATAATAATAATCAACAAATACCACAACACCATAATCTTAGGCAACCACAATATAACAATTATCATAGGTCTTCATATTATCAAGATTTTCCAAATCAGCAAGAATTTCCTCGTTATCAGCAACCCGAGCATTGGAATCACCAAACAGAAAATCCGCATCATCGCTTGACAGAAGAATATCACCGTCAGGCAGGATATTCTCTCCATCAAGAACAACAATTCCAGGATACTCGAAGAGAAGAAGAATTCTGGACATCTGCGCCAGAAGGTCCAGTCAATAATAATCTCTTTACACATATTTATGGGAATAGTTCAATCACAGTTAATGACTTGGTTCCGCCTTCACCTTCACCACCATTGCCGGATCATCTTTTAATTAATTCGTTAAAAGAGAAGTTAGAAAGGGAGGAACGACGAGCTTACGCTTTTCAAAAAAGTGCGCAGATCAAAGCAGAAGCACTCGCAAGCACCAAAGAAAAGTTGGCATCGATGGGAAATGAGAATGAAGCGTTAAAACATCGGTTGGAGGCGATGGAGACGGAAAATAAAAGCTTGAAACGGAAGTTGGAGGAAACAGAACTGTTAGAGGAGGAGAATCGGGAATTGAAGAGGAGGTTGGTGGTATTGGAGAAGGGGAAAGAGTCGTCATCATTGTCTTCATCTACATTTAAATCCGACGATACCTATCAAGATAGACAAGAAGAGGAAGAAGAGGAAGCAAAGATACAAAGGTTGGAGGAAGAGATTAAAATTTTGAAACGTCACAATGAGCAAAGCACCGAGCTCTTGAACGATAAAATACAGTTTCATATTGATCAAAATGAGTCCCTAAAAGCCAAATCGGAAGGCTACGCCGAGCAAATCGATCATCTAAGACAGCAACTTCTAGTTACTTCAAACGCTGCGGAAGTGGAAAGACTCCGCGAAGAAAACCAACTTCTTGTTCGCGAAAAGGCGCTTAAACTCGGCGAATACGAATTTCTTAAACAAGATTACGAAGAATTGAAAAAGAAACTCGAAGAATTCTAATAACATTATTAAATTAAATTATTTATTACTATACTCTATTATTGTTATTATTATCGTCATCACTATATTTTTATTGACTCGTAAGATGGCGCATTTTGACTGTGGTGGTCTTTAAGCCATCATTTAGCATAAATAATAAAATTATATATAAACCAATTATTGCCTATCAAAAAAAAGTATTTGCATTATTAGACTTAATTAATTAGAAAAAGATTATTTTCATAGAGTAATATTAATATTGTTAGGCAAGTTTAATCCGAGCATATTGCTTCTCATTATCATATTGGCATATTGTTCAAGACAAGCGTATGTTATTTTACAAATAGTCATTCAATTATTTCCATGAATAAATTCATAATTCTCATCAAACTTTAGCAGCCGATAAAGGTCTGCAATCATATACAAACTTCCGGAAATTACTATATTTCCACCTTTTTGTTCTTTAATTTCACAAGCACAATTTAAAGCGTTAATAAGACTCCCAGCTTCCCGGATATCAAGGTCGAGTTCAAGATTGTTCGCCAGAGAAGCAAGCACGCTCGTTTCTGTTGGTTTAACCCAAAACATTTCCTCAACTTTTGAGAATGAGACCGGTAGAAACGAGTCACCTTTCCTTAATAAAACACGGAGAATCGAGGAGAAATCCTTGCCTTCTTTTGCTCCAAAGATGAAGATTATATTATTATTTTTACCATTGCTATTATTTGCGAATTTTTGATCAATGAATTTTCGTAATTCTATTGCGGCGGGAACATTATGTGCTCCATCTGCAATTACTTTGATGGCTTCCTTTCGATTTCGTCCACCTACCAAGGGAGAAATGTCTAGATATTGAAGACGTCCAGGCCATTTAGTTGATGCAATACCCTCGAATATGTGCATGTCGGTGATCTTTGAAAATTGAGGAAGTTTTTTACGCAACAAATCAATGGTAGTGACCGCAGTCGCCACATTCTCCAACTGATAATCACCATAAAGTGGAATTTTCAAACGAATCGTTGATGTTGAAGATGATGGTTCATCATAATTATCTTTCAACGACAAATTTGCCCATCCAGATTCTTTCGAAGAAAGATCCCAAACTGCTGGTTTAACCCATTCGACATGATCCACTTTAATTTCTTCACTTAAATACGTTTTAATCGCATTTATAGCCGCTAATTCCTTCTGAGGACCAATTACAGCCAAACTTCCATTCTTTATAATCCCCGCTTTCTCATGTGCGATTTTTTCAACATTGTTTCCCAAAATCTCTTCATGATCCAACCCGATCGAAGAAATAACACTAGCAAGAGGCTTATCAAAAACATTCGTGGCATCATGTGTACCGCCTAATCCAACCTCAACAACCACCACGTCAACTTTCTTTAAATCAAACCAATAGAACGCCAGCGCAGTCAACGCTTCAAATGGACTTGCATCAATGTCAGCAGCGCGAATTTTCGCATAAATTGAATCCGATAATTCGCGGTAATCTTGTCGATCGGTTATTTGACCATTGATTCGGATCGAATCTCGTGGTTCGAGTAAATGCGGTGAATTATATCTTCCAGTTTTGTAGCCGGCTTTCAGTAGGATGTTGTCGATATACGATGATGTTGATCCTTTACCATTTGTCCCAGTTATATGAATTGCTGATAGACGTGTGTGTGGATTATTTAATTGATTTAGAAGCGAATAAATTCGTCGTAGGTCCCACGTTATTTTACTTGCCATTTCTTAAAAGCTTTCTTTTTTTCAAAAGTCAATTAATATTCCCTTTCCAACCAAAACTTCAATATCAAGGCTTTAGGTTTGTATATCCCAATCCGTTATATAGAATTACGTAATTCTGATGTCTACATTGATAACGATATCTGATATTGAATAGTAAATAGTAAATAAAAAGTTAGTCCGATAGTTTATGGACCAAATTCTTAAATTATGATCTCAATCAACAAGCAAACCGAAATTATATCTCGATTCGTGATAAACCAATATAATAGACAGATTAAAAATAATAACAGGAATCTTCAAAAACCATTAATTATAGGTATAAATGGACCCCAAGGAAGTGGTAAATAAATAAGATAATTTCAGAGATAAAATTTAACCATTTCAATATTAAGAATTTTGGTATTTATAAGGAAAAACGACCACCTGTGAACAAGTAGTCACAGAAGTATCGCAAAAATTGAAAAACAACGTAATAACATTCTCAATCGATGACTTTTACCTAACACACAATGATCGAGAAGCGATCTCACGTGCCAATCATGGTAATAAATTACTCGAACTTCGTGGCCTTCCTGGCACACATGATATCAAATTAGGTACCCTTACATTCCAATCACTTTGTGAACAACAACCCACCAGAATACCGCACTATGATAAATCTTTACATAATGGTCGTGGAGATCGTGCACCAGTCTCAACATGGGCTCTGATTTCTCCTCCAGTTTCAATTGTACTATTCGAGGGATGGTCTTTGGGATTTAAACATTTACCAGAAACGCGTCTAAAACAAATTTATGAATCATCTTTGAAGAGTTCATCAAACTCTCATTTACCATCACATAAGCTGGAGCATCTTGTATCTGTTAATAATTTTCTAGAGAAATATGAACGCGAATGGTATCCGTTTATCGACGCTTTTATACATCTCGATGCCAAAGACATTAATTACGTATATAAATGGCGATTGCAACAAGAACATACGATGCGTAAACGAGGATTATCGGGAATGTCGGATGCTGAGGTCAGTGATTTTGTGGATCGATATATGCCCGCTTATGAGCTTTATTTGCCTGCTTTGCGTGATAAATGTTGGTTTTGTATTGATGATTGGAATAAAGATCACGCGGAGGGATTGCATGAAGGAAAATCTTTGAGAATTTTATTGGATAGAAATCGGCAAGTCGTTAAAGAGACAGATTAAAGATATAAACAAATATGTATTACATTATAGAGTAGCTGCTCAATTAATTGTTTTGTTAACGTTAGCGTTAGATATTCTTATGAATATAAAAAAATGCCAATTACATTTTCTCGAAACAGGGATTGGAAAGAATACTTTTACCGAATTACCCGATATAACGTAATAAACAAAGCAGATTCTAGTATGTCGATACTAGACAAAGGATATGGATTCGCTTCGATTCTTTGGTTATGCCAAAAGTGTGTACATAAAAATGGAATTTATTCAAAGATGTTGCCAGTACAGCAATACTATAAATAATGTCTTACAAAAAAATATCATCCGAAAACAAGAGACCAAAGGAAAGGTAATCAATCGTGGACAGATAGGTGATATGAGACTGTTTAAGCAGAAATGACACAATTCCTAATTAAAAATTGTGTCATTTCTATTTAAACAGCCCGTATGCGCTTTATTTCACCATAGCCAAATCCTGTTAAACTTTACCGGAAAAATTTGTGCATTCATAACATTCCAGGTCACCATAAAGATAACAAAAGGTTTTGAGGAGTAAGAGCAGGACCGATAGGTGCAATAAAGACTATAGTTCCCGAGAATGTATGGATATTGTAAGACCTTGGAATGATATTCGATGCATATCATATAGTATAATGTTGTATTCGCATATATTATTATCTACATATTTTTTAACATCTAATCTGTGCAATAAACATCTAATCTGCGTAATAAATATTGTATGCATTATTTTCGCTTCAAATATTCAAATAAAGTGTGATGACTATCGTATATATGAAAATATATGAAATTGTAATGTTCCGTAAAGGTCATTATCAGTTGATAATCTAATCTATAACAAATCCTGCATTTCAGACATAAATTTCTCATATTCATCATACTTCTTTTTTGTCTTTGCTTTTTTTGCTGGAGGCGGAGCAGTCGACTTTTGTTGATCATTTGAATCCTCTTGAGTTGTTGATGACTGCGTTACTACTGGTAACATAGATGAAGCTGATCTTTTAACGGGAGGGGTTAATGTTTCCATTCCATCATCTATATTAGGGGCAGCATTCACTATAGGTCTAGAAACTTTTGGTTTTGAGGCTGAGGCTTTTTTACGAAGTAAAGCGGCAGGGACAAGCGTTGTAAGTTCTTTTTGGAGATTGCGCACTTGAGGCTCAGCCTGAATAATTGGAGTGGCTGTGGCGGCTGATGTAAAAACCTTATTCGGTGATACACCCGGTTTCATCTGCATGCCTTGTACTGTTGCTGCTGGTGAAGATGGAGATAATGGCGGTATATGTTGAGGATATGGCCGTGTCATAGGCATTAGATTACCTGGAACTCCCGGTGGTGGTGGACCGTAATGAGAAAATTGTGGACTTAATGAATGTGGTCTAATTATTGGTGGGGATCCATTAATATGTGGATTGGGTGGATAATTTTGTCCTGGGATTTGATGCATTGGAGCTGATTAAGATCAATGAAATTGATTAAATTAAAATAAGAAAAAATGTGAAGATATCAGATGTGCAGTATATACATGGAAAAACTTGCCAGTAAATGGAGGTGGAGGTGGTGTTCGCATCTGTGGTCTAATTGAATGAGATCCATGAAGTCCATTAAAAGTAGCGAAAGGGCTTGAAGGAGAATGAGGTCCACCGAACGGGGGAGCTGATGGTAATGTACCAGGCGCACCAGTGTAACCGAACGGAGGAGGCATCATCATTTGTCCTCCTGTTAGTGTTGTGTTTTGTAGGGCCCTTATTGATGGAGGAGTCATTGAGCTTGGAGGTGGACCAGGCGGTAATTTAGGTAAATCATCGTCTTCATTATCACTATCATCGTCCTCCTCTTCATCGTCATCCTCACCTTGATCATTGTCATCTGCCTCATTTTTCTTTTGTGTAGGTGGTGGACCGGGTGGTAACTCTGGTAAGTCATTGTCTGATGAATCTTTATCTGCTGGCGGTTGACCAGGAGGAAGAGGGATTTCCTCTTCTGATTCGTCCTTATTCTCGACTTAATGATTAAACCATGAGAATTTAGATATATAATTATTTACAAAATAAAGAATTCAATCTTACCTCTTTCGCCTTCAGAATCTGAGTTCTCTTCAGATTGATCCTCATCACCACCATCCTCCTCATCAAAAGATTGAGCTTCGTCGTCATCTTCTTCATCTTCGTCTTCACCACAATTCAATGTTTTCCCGATTTAATAATATTTGTTGAAAAAAATTTATGCCATTAACCAGAATATAATAAAAAAAGTTTACTAACCAATGGAAACCCCTGGCGGAGGTAACCCTGAAGGATTGAGTGTGGGATGAAAGTATATAGGGGTGTGATCCGTTTTTGGCTTGGTGTCTCTTTAAAAGTGGATTAAACGAGATCAGTATTTTGCGAAAAAATTCGAACAAAAAGCATCATTTACTTTTTCAAATTAACCCCGTGAGCCTAAGAAAACAACATGATCAGAAAAAAATCGATTAATTCTACCAAAATATCCCCAAGCATAAAAGATCAATAATCATACGCCTACCTTCTTGGTCTCAACAATTTTTGACAACTTGTCTTGCAAGTCTTTCAGTTTCGCTTTTCCATTTTTGTCCAATCTTTTATCCTTATCTATTCAACAAATACGTAGAGATTTGATGTTTAATTACCAATGGAGAAAATCAATTCAGGAATGATTCTTCGCACACCTAAAGATCTGTATCGAGAAACCTCCTCCTCCAATTTCGTGGTATCTTTATGCACCATTACCAGTGTACGTACACGTTTCCTCTCAGCTTTATTCTATTGTCAGATAATCAGACATCCCAATTAATAAAATTGAATTGAACCGAATTTTCATTTGAATTTTGAGATGCAAGCATACAAGATAAAATCCCATTGGATACCTTCCAAACAACAGGAAACAAGGCACATTTCATGTATATAGAAATTCATACCTTTTTAATCTCCTTTTGCCGCATCGCCTTGCCTAATCAAGAGTTCCAGGCGTAAAGTATTAGTTTAGTAAGTAACAATCATTGAATTTTGCCAAAGATCCAATCAAGAAAACACTCACGATGTGCATCGGCAGGGTTCAACGTTCTTCCACTTTTCTTTTTAACCATGACTAAAAGACAAGATCAGAGGGGAAAACTCTTAAACTGTAACCAAAATACACCAAATTTCAAGACTATTCTCTCCGAATCTAAGAAATTACCACGCTTTTTGTTTGTTACTCTTTACATAAATTAACAGTCGAACGGCATTCCCGAGTTGAAGTCATGTGATATCCTCGATCACGTCATTCTTAATACATGATTTAGCATTGATCAAAAAAAATTTTGTGCATGTTGATTAATTATTATTATTTTTGATTTTCTATATTGACAACACACTAGATAACAACAAATAAGATTAATAAATAGAAAAGGGACCTCTGATTATATATACAGTTGACAGACATTACACTAATTTCCGAATTACCAAGAGAAATCCATTCCCAAAAAAATGACGACAAAACAAATAAAAAGAAGACGAAAGAAAATGGGGGTGATTTGAAATTAAGTTGCTTGTTAATGCCTAAAGTCCGCCTATTGCGCAATTTTTTTATTACTAACATTACTAACATTATTATGATTACTATTATTATTATTATTATTATTATTATTATTATTATTATTATTATTATTATTATATTATTATTATTATTATTATTATTATTGTGTCATTATGATTGCAACGTCTCTAAGTAATTGTTGTTGTAGTAGTTGTAGTAGTTGTAGTTGTAATAGTTAAAGTTTCCAAAATTGAAACAATAGAAAAAGAAAGGTAATAGTGGTATAGTATCACAAAAGAAAAAACTATGTATACAAAAAAGAAAAAAACGCTAATAAAATTCACAAAGAAGGAAAAAACAAAAGGGCTCACAATAATAATTATTAAGTTGAAAGGTAAATCAAACGTCAGTGCCAATCATTGATGGCAGCGTGATAATAATAATAATAATAAATCCCTTAGTGTGTTAAATTTTCCGAAAAATGCTTTTCAGACACAACATATTTCTCTTCGCCCCTTTTTAGTCGTTTTACACAAGCCAAAGTACTAGGTAAAGTCATGAATAACCATGCGCTCACGGGGAGCCAAGCATAGTCAGCAATGTTTTTCCATGTTCTACCTTCCTTCGGATCCTTTCTAAATAGCTCAGCATCCACAGTGCGATGTAACCCTTCGTAAAGAACAGTCATCAATAATAACGGCATCGGTAATAATACTCCAATCACTTGCACCAACGAGAACATGAATGCGTAGAATTCTGAGGCGTCAATTGGATTCTGAAAGGTCGGATAATATGAGGAGAGTGGTGAATATGTTGATATTAATAGGAATTGAGTTACTGGTACTGCGGCAAACATGAGCCAGCCCGATGTCGCCGGGATCATATGTGCCTCTAGTACATGAAAGACAACCACAAGTTTGTCAAATATTGAACATGACATGAGACATGATGAAGGTCGATAATTAATATGATAATTATTATAATGTACAGTGCTGCTATTACTACTGCTACTATTATTACTACTATTACTATTAAGATTATCAAAGTTATTATTGTTATTTAATAATGTTGTGTCATGATTAAATGTAGGTGATGTAGGTGATCCCAATAATAATGGCTGTGTATCATAAGATGACTGTTGATCCTGTCCATATCTAAATGCTGATTTCAGTGAATATGCCACATCGGCAACCCCATTATAATGTCGTTTTGCTTGTACATAACGTGCATGTAAATTTGATACGTAGCCAGTTGTTTGTACATTTGTGAGATTAATTGGAACAAATATCGGTGCTGTTCTTACTGCTCCACCTGTCTTAAAGAAACATTTTAGCCACATATGTAAATCTTCTCCAACTGCATCCTGATCTGTATCCCAAAATCCTACTTTCTCTGCAAGAACCTATTAATTATACAAATTAAATAAATTAATTAATCAATTAATCAATCAAAATAATCAAATAAATTAATAAATAAATAAATAATAATAAATAAATAAACAAAATTAATAAAATAAATTACCATGCTTAAACTATATGTTGAGCATGGAAAGGATAATCCACGTCCATTACTTAAATTTTGCATAACCATAATAGACCACATTATATCAGTTACCCGTACAGCAGCAGGAACATCCAATGCATTTCTCGAAAAGAAGATTGGTGGTGAACAAATAGTCGCGTATGGATCATCAGATTCGGTGAGTGCTCTTTCCACATGACGGATATAAAGCTCAGGTATGGCTGAATCAGAATCCGTTATTGTGAACACGACATTCCGTTTGTCAAATCCATTTCGCACAAGTTCGGCACAAGCCATTCGTGCAGCATACGCCACATTACTTCCCTTGCCTTTGCTTTCACCGGGTACATCTTTCGGATGCACCGTGATTATGAATTCTCGAAAACTTCCTTCAAATGTATTTTTTAAATTCGCAGCTTTTTCGGCATGATTTGTTTCAGATGCCTCCATTGCAAGCACAATCACATAGGTCGTTGATGAATTCCTATCGAAAAATATTCTTATGAATTATAAATGCTATAATGGATTTGAACGAGAACAGAGAATAAAATCCATACCTGTGTTGTGCTAATCTTTTGATCGTATCCCTTAATAAAGGTTCAGGTTCTTCATAATTTGGAATGACGAAGGCGTGAATGTAATGATCATCCTCGTATAGCCTCAATGCGCTTTCCATCTCACCATACTGTTTTTCGTCCAGTGCATCGTTCATATTCGAGACGGGTGTATAACCACTCCGCGTGGTACTACCGGTCGGTGTTGTCCGACCGCTGTTACTCGACTTTCTTTGCGTGTCATTGTTATTGTTGTTGGAATTACTAATACTATTACTTATACTGCTATTTTCTTGAGCATCGCGTAAAGCCTGGGTAGCGTTCCAATGTCGAATATTTCTTTTCATATTCCCTACCGTGATGCAGAACTTGAAGAAGTGATTTATCGATATGTAAAGGTAGGTTGTGAAATAGACGAAGAGGAATAATATGTACGTCCGAGGAAACAAGATTGGACCAAATGGAAGCAATAATATGGCCGCGAGTGCGGTCGCAGGAGCTACAAACTCGAAAAGGTGATACATGATTTTTTTTGCTGGTAATATTTTTCGTACTTCGAGATTTTCCTTTAATTAATAGTGAGGTATGGGTGTGTTTAAAGTTACGTATGTGGAATAATATATAACTAAAGGAGTAATCGTCAGTAATATTTTTTTCAATAGGTTTTATGATTAATATCAAATAGAAACTCAAAGTATTACTTTATATGTATATATATATGTGATAGTATATATATGTATATATGTATTATGTATATAGCTTCTGTGGAAACGAAACAACCTAATTTTTGGTGTTTCGACGGACTATATAATAAAACACTATGGTAGTAGAAGTGAAGGAGGAGGACAAGGTGACTTTAATACACGTTGTCTATCAGAAGTATATTAACAGCATGCGACCGACTTTTTAGAACAAGACGGATTTGCTACCGTAGAAGTGATAGTATCTGGAAATATTCGTATTTGGAAAAGGGCAAGCTAAGAGAATCAAGGAGGAAAAATTCGCCGTCATAAATTAGAGAGCAAAGCAACACTAGCGACAACACCACACTAACTACCAGAACTAACGGAGAAGTGTGTGTGGAAGAGATGATTCGCAATTTCGGTATATACAGATTTGATGATAGAAATCAAATCAAATAACTAAAATAAGATAAATAAAGTAGATGAACTCCTTCGTCGGCCAATCAGCGTGCAGGGACCTATTTAACATATTCTTCTATTTGTATTATCCTATACAATATGTATACAATATTATGTTGGACTAAATTTAGCCCATTTCCCTGTACATAAAGTACATAGATAGCTACCGTTTCAACTCTTTTTGGTCTCTTTTGTGGCATTTTGCTAGAACAGTTGATAATTCGAAAAAATTAATCAACATTGATTGCATATGATTGGATGTTTTTAATAATCAATGTGACAAATTTATAAAAAGTAAAACAGGCTTGGCATATTTGTATTACACAAATAATTAGTTGAGAGTGGCTTTTGACTTGTGCAAGAGGACAAGTTCCGAAGTGTATATTGCAAAAAATTTTGTATCTTGAAATTACGTGTTTAAGCCAAGCGAACTGATCATCGTCGACGATTTAACGTCAAAGAGAAATTTAAAGAAAAACAGCAGCATTCTGGAGTGTGATTCGTCGTTGTTAGATGAAGAGAACATGTATTTATTTATTATTCTCCATACAATGATTATTGTATGATAAATTATGGTAATTAAACAATAATAGCAATAATAGTAATAACGATTGGATAAGACTACACTAAGCATTTGAAAATAATAGTAATAACGATAACGATAATAGCAGAATCCAAATAAAGGTTGATTATTCGGTTTTGCACCACAAAACCATTATCAGTTATTTGATTATGTTCAAAAAAGAACCCTTTTTGTGTCATAGTTTTTGTTTTCGCTTTTCTTTAACTCACTACCTGCAGCTTAATTTCGCGTGCGTTATTGGCCGAGTCTTTCTTGTTGATACAACATGATGAAGATCATGTGTTAAAAAAAAAAAAAACGAAGATTAGACAATGATGCGTTATTATTTACGTATGTCTCTGTTATTGTGTATATATTTGTTACCTGCTAAATAGTGGTCGTACAAAAGAGAAGAGAGTGGAGAAATTCGACAGAATCAAAATAAAAATTGTGGATGTTTGGTTGCAGATTCGGTAGGTAATCTTGATGTGTCTGTAATTTGCACGAGGAGCCATGATTTCACATTAATAAATTGATTATCATAATTTACTTTGGCGGAAAGTTATTTTTTGGCAACTGATAGTAACGATTCTTCTCTATTTTAACACTGGACGCGTAATTCCGAGAGCACTTGTTTCATATAGAATTAAGTTTATGTAACGTAACGTACGCACCAGACGCACCATACACAAGAATGGAGGGCGTCATAAAATTAATAGGTTCAACAACCACAATGTACATGTTTCATGCACGATTTTTTCATTTTACTCAGGAATCAAGTTCTAACGTGACACGAACTATTCGCGAATAAAGTGAATATGTGTAATTATTCGAGATCAAATATTTACGCATGTGTTTCGGGATTCGGAATACGTACGCAAACAATGTAAAAATCCGGCCAGACCGGCCAAATACTTTTCCCTTTTACAGTCTAGTGGCAAACTATAAGCCCGTCAATAACCTCTTGGAATAATAATATTTTCCCGTATTCAGATGTGACTGGAGGAAAAAGCTGTAGGAGTCTTCGTGGTTCATCATACATACGTTTTGTTTTGCATGCATGGGTAGGATTTCGGGCGTGTGATTCTGATCTAAAGACTTAATTTTACATAACGATAATATGCAGCTTGATCCTCTATAGTGTCAAAGAAAAATCCTTGCATGCATTTTAAGATGACACAATATATATTACGTTTTTATTTTCTCTTTTTAGACGGTCGAACTCTTGGCAGAAAACTGAGGTCACTATGATGATCTATCGAGAAATTTCCTTTTTTTCTTTTTTTTCAAATATCACATTTTCGTACTTCAATGCAGTGGTTCTCTTGATCTAACGAAGAGTTTACACGCTAGCCATTATCATTCATTATAACCTACTTATGTATAAGCATTTGTACTTGGATCATTGATGTTTTCTTTTTGGAAATAATTAATTATACGTACGTATACACATCGTTTCAATTATTCAAAATCGTGTTTATTATTTTTCACCACAAACTCCACACTGAAATAATCTTGCTTGCCAAACAAGCTCGCACACATCAGACTGAATGCTTTGATCCCACTCGCATCCAATTTTCCCGCTTGCGAAGATGGTCTTCCATGAGAATAGGGCACGAACTCTTTCCACGCAGCATAGAATGTGGTTTCTTGTGCTGGGACTGTGAACTGATACTCGTATTCGACCCCACTTTCGAGTCGACTATCTGGGCGAGTAGGTGGAATTGTGATTTTTAGATTTAGTATATTTTGGAGTCGCCGTTTCGTGTTATTTCTAGACCGGTGTATGAAGCGAGATCCCACGTATGAGATGTAAATGCTGTACGTTGCGAGACAAATCCTAGTTGTCTCAATTATTAGCATACAGAATGATTTTTGCTATTACACGGAAAATTTTCGAACTACCTGCTCCGCCTAATGTCGTAACATCCAAATTTCCATAAAATCTAGTTGTATTGTTGTTGGTTACCCATAGGTAACTTTGTGATCCCCCCCCCCCCCCACGTACTCTCTTTTCGTGCAAAGAACATTGAATATTACAAACTGAAAGTAATAATTAAAACAGCAATTTTGGAAATTTTACCGAAATTCTACAGTGCAGAGGAAAAAAATTCTGACATATTCAAATATATAATTGATGATTTCTTGCATTCTAATGTTTTTCGTATTAGCGTTAGTGTATATCATTTATTATATACTGTTAAAGTACCCAGGTCCAGCGCTTTGTGGTAGTTATCAGAATTCCTCCAGTCAAAATCATAAGTAGAATCTATAGCTAATTCACTTTTTTGTAACTAATTGACCTGCACCGTAGCAAATAAAATAAAATGCGAAACGATACTTTTAATAATAGTGTAGATGTCCTATTGCTAATAAATTCGTGGGAATCACTCCACGTGTATTTAATCTGATAAACTTAAAAGAAGAGTAAACACGCACGCATTAAACGATGAAGAGTAACAGTAACATGAGAACGCATAAAAAAGAAGTCTGATAACTTTAATATGTTGTAATACATGTATGTCATTACTCACGTGAATATAAAATTGAAGTTCTATGAAGATATAGTGATAAGAATAGTAATTATATTGTCGTTTTTACAATTTATTTTGAGATGTCATCTTTGAATTTATTTTATTAGCGTTAGCGTTAATGATTGCGATTATGACAGTATTTTATTTAAAAAACGATGATTTATTTATATGCGTGGAAGTCGTCGTTAACTTCCGTTTGTGTTGGTATCAATATTAAGAGGTTGCTTGTAGATGTATATCGATATGGAGTTATCAATAATTGTGGGAGATCATGATGAAAAACGGATTATGGTGAAAATTTTGGCCAAAGTTGTGCAGATCGTGGGATCATTTGGCCAGAATTATCGACAATTTCTTATAATAAAAAGAGCAATATTTTGAAAATAATGATATATGCATAAAATATATAACTTAAATTAATTTTGCAATACTATTTATATTGCTAAATACTATATAAATTTATTAGTATAATTGTTATTTATAGTTTATTATAATAGATATTGCAAATTTTCATTATAATTCGTAATCACCACAAAAAATATTACTTGCCAAATAATCTTGATCCAGATCCAACCTAATCCTTTTCGCATCGTTAACGTCATTAACAAATCATCACGTGATCCGTATTTTAGAAGGTTTATGATATAATAAATTATTGAATTATTAAAATAAATTCTAATCTATTATTTTTTTATTAAATTCATAAAAATTATCAAAAATTACGAATGCTAAAATACTAATACTAATTTTTTAATATTTCTATAAATTGAACTTTTATCTGAGTTTGAATTTGATTCAAAATTCAAATTGAACTTGAATCAGATTTTGGCTTGAGTTCAAGAAAGATTCAAAGTTCAAACAGAATTATTATATAAATTTGAATCTGATTCAAATTTAATTCAAAATTAGTAAGTATAATTTACAATATTTATTGAGAATTAAAAGTTATTTAGTAATAATTAAAGTATTTTCATTTTTATATTTATTAAATTTTATTATAAATGCTATATAGTTGAATCTCTCTATAATAAAGATGATACAGCAATTGTTATAATATAGTAACAAATAAAGCATTATCTAGTTATAGCTTATAAAATTTTAGAGTTATAATGTGTTGCAACAGATGACAAATAAGCATCACATACTTGCTGTATCATCTTTATTCTATAGATCTATTTATTTATAGTTATACCTCTTTATAATTATTCTATTTTGCTTTTCCATTTACATATAAATATTGTTGTATAATGAACTTTGATCGAATATTATACTGAATTATTCATACTTAATATTATTAAATTATAAATATCTTATATCTTATTGGAAGAATCTAATTATGTGAAACAAGCAAATGAACAAGCAAATGAATGAATATACAAGTAAATAAACAAGCAAACAAGTGAATGAATAAGCAAATATTGGACCAATAGAATTTAAGTAATATAGTAAACATGAATTCATATAGCTGATAAATTATATTTTGAATTTGTATAAAAGCAACATGTATCATAATTATTAAAATTAGATATGAACAAGTTCTTTTAGATAGTAATTCTTAATTATTATATTTAATTAATTATCACGTAATTTTGATTATTCAAAGAAGTAAAGTTTGCACTTTATGTAGAGTAAATAGTTAAGTGCAAACTCCTTTCTACACCTCTTTGACAAAGTATTCTTGTTTCTTGTATAATCACTTTAGTGTTGTTACTATAAGTGTTATACAGATCTTGAATTAATATTATAGTAACTTAAGCACATTTGTCAGGAGCGCTATAAAAGCTATTATCTTAATATTAAGTTATTTGAACACATTTGTGACAAAATCTATTAAACATTATATTAAATAAAGAAATTATTATTATAATTTATAAATCTATCTTTGAGATTGTATTGCTAATAATACATTATTTATAAACATAACTTCAATTTTGTATTACTGATAATACATTATTCATTTTCAATCTTATATTGCTGATAATATGAATATTATAATCTTTATTATAATTTTGACTCTGAAATTTTGAGAACTTTTTCTAGCAGTTCAAATTATTATATTGTCATCAATTCAATATCGACTATAATTTCATCTAAAGAATACGTGAACAAAAGATGTAGTAACAATCAAAATTAGTCATAATAATATTTAGACTATATAATTGGTTCGATAATATTCTACTTTCTTCTATCTCTTTTTATTTTCTTCTTTTTCTTCTTGTATTACCTATCTTTCTATATTTATCTTATTGTTATCTTTATTTGGATATATTAATCACGCAATTTTCTTGGCAAATTTCATCATTATCTATATTAATTTAGTCTTTATTTTCTATTTTTGCTATTGGTATTTAGATGTAGAACAAGATTATTAATTATAATATAGTAAAATTTCGTATAATTTAGAAGAGAACCAATAATTTCATAGTATTAGTAAAGATCTATTGTGCCACAACTGTGTCATGCTGCATCATACTGCGCATTATTGTGTCACACTGTGTTACTATAACATAAAAACATGTATAAATACAAGTGCTAATAATTAATAAAAATCAAGTTCTCTAGTTTATATTTTAAGTTCTCTCAGTTTGATTTAAGTTCTTAAATTTTGGTTTTGAGTTTCTTTTGGTTTAATGTCGAGTTTGACATGCTAAATTGATTTTATTTTGGAATTTTTAAGTACTTTTTGGTTAAAGTTTACCTTTAGTTTAGTTTTGTTATTAGTTTAATCTTATTTTCATTATCTTTTATCTTGTCAAGAAACATCATTTATCATCATAAACACCATTTAGTCATAGTATTCAAAATAAATTGCCGTAAACATAGTCACTATTGCCATTTTGAAATACTTTCATACACAAAAGCTCAAAACGGTAACAATATCATGTAATTATATAGTTAGTATATTTTTTTTAAATTGTAAGATCTAGTAATCCAAATTAGTAAAAATTACCTAATTTACCAATACAATCTTCAGTAATTTAAATTCTATCTGAAATTAAATTTATCAAATTACAATATATATATGATATAAATCTAATTTATAATAAAAAACTAATTAAAATATCTTAAATAAAAATTAATTAAATTATTATTTTTTGTCAAATACTATTATCATGTGAAAAAATATCATTGGAAAATTTTTGAGAGCGCAGTTTTGCACAAATCTTCAGGTCCAAAAATCTGCGCAAAACTTTGAATCTGGTAACAATTGATAAAGAAAATTTTTTAAACAATCTGCACAGATCTGCAATAAAATGTAGATCTGTGCAAATTTTTCAAATTTATTTTTAAAATTCTGCGCAAAACTTTACAATATCAGTTTTAAGTAACAGTAGCAATTTCAAGTAGCAGTAGCAATAGCAATAGCAATTTCAAGTAACAGTAAAATTCATAGGTTAAATAATAGTAAAGAATATTTATTTTATTGTAAAGTATATATATATAATAATAAAATACAAATTTAAAGAAAACTATATTA